CAACCTGTTGCTTTAGCAGAGGAGTTGGACTAGATGTCTCCAGGTGGCCTTTCTGATCCCTGGGATTCTGTGATTCTTTGTATCAGTGACTCCTGTGGCAGTGCCGTGCTGACACTGGGTGTTTTGTAAGCCCCTTCTCCCCTGGAAAGCAGACTCTTCTGTCAATGTTTTGGATCTGGGGGGATTTGAATTCGGGGTATTTTGAATGTACAACTTGGTTTCATCCCATGTGCTCTACATGCATGCAGTAGCTGGGTATTGTATTTACTTGTGCCAGTAGTAATAACACTCATTAACTCATTTGCAAATATAATTTCACAGTGTCAGAAAGTTACTGCTTTCAGTTTACTAACAAACCCTGTGTCCCTACCCCAGCATAACTCAAAAGGTTGCTGTAAAAATGCACAATCCTTTGGTTTTTCAGTAGGCTGAATACTAGGATAAAATTATGAGCCTTTAAACTAAATAATAATTTTTTCCTTGTAGCTTGAGATCTGTTCAATCAATAATCTTTCTGCTAACTCTGGGGAGAATTTTAGTTGCCTCCATAAAATGTTTTAATTATTTAAAATCATAAAACATAAGTAGGCACAATTTGCTTGGAACTCATTAGGGAAATATATGAATAAGAAGAAAAGATGTTTGCTTCTGCATTAATTTAAAGCAGTCTCTAAAATACAAAATCTAATCCTGGAAAGCGGTGACTTATCAGCAATGTTTACTTTTCCTATAATAGGAATAAATATTAAAGCAGCTAGTTATGTGCTTATCCCTACAGTATTGCACAGAGGCAGAAAGGATGACAAATAACTTGTCTGAAATCCCACATTAATTTCCCTCTTTTAAAGGTTTTATGTTTGTTCATTTCCTTTTCCAAAACATTGCCTTTAAAATTATTATTATAAACCAGGTGACTTAGAAGCCATGAGTAGTTGCAAATGCATGAGACCAATTTGTGCGTGATTAGATTTAGGCAGGGGTAATGCTTTATTCTGAGGCAAGCCCTTGAACCTGGAGCAAACATGGGGCAGAACCTGCAGCAGTGAGCTTGGTTGCTCCCTGCCCAGTACTTCTTGCTTGGTATCCGGTCAGAAATCCCTGCTTGGAAGGCCTCTCTGGTTGCACTTATGGCTTTCCGCATGTTGATTCTGGGAAGCATAAGAAAGTGGTGCTGCTGAAGTGGAAATGAAAGGAGTAGTAAAATAAAAACTGATGGAAAACACCTGGTAATCAGTCCAGAATCCATATGTGGGGAGCTCAGAGGCTCCTTAAATGAGATGGCACATCCCTCACGAGGAAGAACATCTGGAGCTGTTCAACACGGCCATGCTGCAGCTGCAAGGTTCATCATCAGCATCAGCAAGGCTGCAGGGCCTGAGATGTGGTACGTGCCAGGTCCTTGCTCCTGAGTGGCTGGGGAGCTGCTCGTGTGTCAAAGGAGAGGACTTGGATGAAGCTTAATCATGTTCCTTTCTGTATATCTTAAGGACTTTATCACAAGAAGCACACCAATTGTCTTCAAGAAGCAGTTCACAGGAATTGCTGACCATGTGTAATGTGGTTAAACTTCAACAGACTAAAAGCACTTCAACAGCTCAGTCCTGAGTGCTTTCCAAGCTGCAGGTAACTCCAGGATCCTGTCTTCCCTCTGCATATAGCGGAAGAGGCCAGCAGTGTTGCCATGCGCTGCTTTATGCTGAGTGAATGTTGGCTGCTTATTGGAGTTGCAGTTACTAAAAGATTCTAATTCCGCTTTGCAAGTCTTTAGTTTGGAAAACGGTGAGCCTATACTGTGTGAGCAACAGGTGTGATGCTGGGAATCAGGTTCAGACCTGTAAGCTTCCATACATGATCTCGCCATTAGAGAGAGACAAAGACTCATGCTGTGTTGTCGTGTGGTCTGTTCTCACCACCTAATGAAAGCCTAAATTCCCGTGGTCCCCGCAGATTCCCCAAAGCTGATTCACCACTTGAATTAAACCATAATTATACATTATCAGCAGTCACTTTACAGTAAGGTTGAAGGATTAAATGCAGTTAGTAGTGATGAATTCCAGACACGCAGGGCAGGAGCTTGAAGAGAAGGCCAGCTTCTGAGTAACTACAAGATAAAGTGTAATGTATTCTAAATATTTGATTCAATTAAGCTTCCTTCTGCTCTTTGTTTCAGCTTACAGATGGCTCATCAATCTATAGTTTAGGGACACATTGCTATTCTTTCTAATGGTAATTACATGATCAGGATGGAGACAGGTCTGATTAAATGCTTGCAGTACACTCTGCATATTTGAAATGGAGCTGAGTCCATAGCAGAAGCGATGTGGTAGCCCCACTGCATGCAGATTCAGACTGGCATTTAACAGTGCCATCTGAACAAAATCAGTCTTATGCTAGCCGAGGTGATGGGAACTTTGCCAGTTCCCACCATTCAAGGAGCAGGAGGAGTTCATTAAGTCAAAAACTGTTTTTGAGTTTTGCTGAAGTGTTATTTGACCATTTTTCTCAGAAACTTTCTGACTCTTTAGATCTGCTTCACTGAGAAGATTACCTGAATTTTGCTATTAACTACAGTCTGTGATAGTCATCCACTGACTGTTGCAAGTTTAGGAAAGGCCATAACTTTTAGATCAGGGCATGTATTCTTACCAGCTTGTAGCTACCTTTGCAGCAGATCCACACTACAGTAGATGCAAAGAATAATTCCATAAGATTTGAAATCACACTTCACTTTCTGTCTCATCCTCCTGCTTAGAATAATCTATCAGTAACAAAACCTGTTCTCCTATACAAGAAATCAGTATCTTTAAATGCTTTGTGCTCACTTTTATTGTGTAGTTGTATGTGTGGTGTAGTCTGACTTCCACGAAGCAGCATCCAAAAGTGATGAAACAGTGATGAGCTGCTTCACTCACTGGACTTTGTAAGCTCTAGTGCATTTCAGCTTGCCTTCATACTGAGTAAAATAGAATTGTCTGTTCAATGTTCTTATATGACAAATACATTATTAGGTGTATCTGCCTTTTCAGATTGTCAGTAGATTGTCAGTGAAACTTGCCTGCACATCCATGAAACACTTAATGTTGGTGTTCTGAAGAACAGAATCCTTCTGCCTTTCAGCAGAGATAATCTATTAAAACTTGCTTTGGAAAGAGCTCAGATGATCTAAGTCCTTCAGGGACCTTTATCTATTTAATCTCTCATCTATTATCTATGCTTTCCCTGTAAAACCAGGTACCACTTTTCTTTCCCACTGCCTGCCTTATGTGGTGAGCTCACCAGATGGGTACAGCCAGTTTGGTTTCAGTCACCTGATGGAGATGTTACAAACAATGCTATGATCTCTAGCAGGAATTAAATATAGTCTTGGACGCTGCTGAGGGTAAGGTATGAGTGGGTTTGTTTGTTTCCATCCTATTTGCTAGGGCAAAGCCTTCAGTCTTACAGAACTTCAAAGAAAGTGGACTTTGTGCCATTGCAGAGCAATGTTTGGCAGCTGTTAGCTTGGTTTGGAAGCCCAGTCAGGAAGGTACACAGTCCTTTGGGACCAAAACATGAAGAGTATGTAGCCAGTTCAAGTGTATAAGTATTGTTTGTAACCCCTACCTTTTTTGTTATCCACTTAAGTAAGATTGTAATGTGGAACACAGCCAGAAGCTTCGCCTGAAAACATGATGACCTTGTATATTTCTTTAGCCTCTCCGTCTGAAAGCTATTACACCATTAAGACTTCACTAAGGTGCTATTTCTTTCATATAGATAAGAACACTGAGGCAGAAAGAGGTTGGCAGCTCTAAGGGTAAAACTATACCCTGAGAAATAAATTGTGCAAGCTTTATGCCCTATTTAAAACCTCATGGAAGGGCCGTACACACCTTGTCCTGGCCTTCTCCCACGGATTTTACATCACAGCAGCTAGCCCTCATTTCAGTAAAGTACTTAAGTACATCCTGACGTGCTGTGCTGAATCAGGGTTTTAACTGGAAGAGACGGAAATAGAACAGAGATCTCCTCGCTCTGACACAGCAGGCACCACTTCCTTTCCTCACAACTTTCCCACTGCAGCAGTAGGAACACAGTATCCTTCAATAATTACCAGCAATTTTTAATTTCTGGTTCAAGAATCCTAGCACAATTTTTTTTTCTTCCCTGTTATAACTTTTAACATTAAGCTCTGCTTCTTTTCCTTTTGACAATAGGACTCATTATTCTGCTATTAAGAGCAAGGGTCCTGAGTTCAACTACCACTGCCTGCTGTCCGGCGGTGCAGAAAACTCAGCCTCCAAGTGCTGTGAATGTCAGCTACATGTGCCATTTTTTCTGCCTTAAAAAAAAAAAAAAAAAAAAAAGAGTTCAGTTACCCATTTATCTTGAAGGAATCCACGCTTGTTGGTGCTTCGTAACACCTAGCAAATATCTTAATAACAAGAGAATGTAGTCTTCTCCAGAAGGTGTGTAATTTTTACTTAGTCTTATCACACAAAAATGAGTCACCAAAATAAATTCTCATTTGGACTTTTTCAATTAAATAGTGTCCTCTAGAGCTTTCACGGACAATGACCCCTTGACCTTCTGTTTATTTACACTGTCATTAAAAAATCAAGGTGTTTAAGCCAGTGATGGTAACTGGGGAAAAAAAAGGGGGATTTTATTGGCCCAGTTCTGTTAGAAACATGCAGGATGTGTGAAGTCCCAGTGAAACTGACAGATTCACTCTTTTAGTTTGAGACAGATGTTCCCAACAGATGGGAACCCACGGAAACAGTATGATGAACACTCTTACCTGCATGGATTCTTAGTATGTAGAGAAGTACTAAATAGCTCAAAAATAATCAGTTTGACGCTGCTTTTAGAGACTAATGGTATGTGAGTTCCAAGTTCACTCTCTAGTGTTTGCCCTCCTCTCCAGTCCTCAAAACTGTGTCACCAAAATGTACTTTAGCCACTTCTTTATCCATCTTGCTATGACTTCCACAGAAATAACCCAACAAAATAAACAGCAATAAGGCAACCAGAAAATGGATTTTTTTTTTCTCTGATTTCCTAGTAACATACAAGATTTTTTGCTTTGTCCTTCTTAGTTATTAAAAAGTGTGACCTTTTTGCTCTTAGTTAATGCAAATTTGTGCTGAGTTGTATCAGCAGTTTTTATTTTCTCTCAGCTTAACTGGTGCTTTATCTAGCTGCTACTTAAACCCCTTCTTCCTGTCCAAATTCAGGACTTACCCCTCATCAGTAGAAGGTGCAATTAATGTCCCTTCTAATCAGTGAAAACATAAGGGAAGAATATTCTAGTGGTTAAGATTTGTTTCAGAGGGTGATTTTGGTCTTCTCCATGGTCTTGCCTCAATTACTTAATATTTCCATGTTTTAATTCCCTGTGTCCTTACCCACCTTTTGTCTCAGACTCAGTACCCTCTTTCAGGACAGAAAATCTCTTTGTTGTACTGACGTAGTTGGAAGTCAGTCATTCTACACAAATTCATTTATTTTTTTTTAATCATTGTTTTAAAAAGGTAATTTTCTAATATGCTTCCTTTATTATAATTAAAATAATTAAAATAAGAAGCCACACTATATTGCCAAGCAAATTATTCTCCTCAACTTAGCTGCCCTTAGAGTCTTGATGATTCTTAAGTCTACTTTCCTAAGCTGCGCTGTGCTGTGGAGATGTGGGTTAAATAATCATTTTTGACAGCATTCTGGCTACATTTCTGCTGGTGATCTGATGCTTACTGTTTCCCATGTGCTGGGACACCTCCATTTACAACTTGAACACCAATGTCACTCCATCCCCCATTGGGATCATGCTGATATTGACTCGTGCATCTCTGACAAGCTTCTCATTGAGCTGGTGGATGCTCTGTGTTGCCAAGTCATCCTTTCTTGGTTTTAGCACCATTCCACACCGAAGAACCTATTGAAAAAAGCAATGTCACGCACCTCATTTGTTCCAGTAAGTTCCCTGGACTAGAGTGGAAGTTCTAGAAAAGAGTATGACAAAAGAGTATGAAAAAAGTATGACAAATGTATTTCTAAAAGCCCCTATCCGGCTGACACCGTAAACCTGAACGTCTCTAAAGTTTACCATCATTCTTTGTTACTAGTAAAAGTCCTTAATTTATAACTTATAAGTAGTTACTGATTACAAATAATACCTTACTTCTTGTGTAAATAGTAGGAAACACTACAAGACAAAACAAACTAATACAGAGCATTAGCTGTAACGAATAAACCTTTCATCTCAGGCTGTTTAAGTACTAACATAAATTTAACAACTACTTCTTACTTATGGGCGCAAGAAGTTCTAAATATAGTGTTGCATAAAGCTTACTTTGATAGTTTTTGTTGAATTTTAAAGCCTCCTTTGTATTATATGGAACAAAGATGTTGCAACTCTCAATAGAGATGCAGGTGAGAAATCAAGTTATTAGAGTCCCACTGTGACTTTATTTTCCCTTCCCAGAGGGGAAAGCATTAACTCCCTATGCTACTACCACTACAACCACAGTACTTACATTATCAATAGCTATTATTCCCCCTTTCCTTATGAGGCGCAAACATTTTTCATAGTACTCATTGTAGGTTTCTTTATCCGCGTCAATGAAAGCAAAGTCAAAGGTTTCTGCTTCTCCACCAGCCAACAGCTCATCTAGATGGGCAACAAAGTGAGTCGTTATGCCTCGGTTAATGCTGTGTAAAGGAAGGAAGTAATCCATATCTGTAGATGTTCTCAATAAATAATGTGTTTGGTGCTTTGACCAGGCAGCCTATTCCTCCACAGATAATTATCAGTAATGCTTACCACATAGAAACCAGTCTGGTTAAGATGTATATCGTAAAACACCGGGTCACTGAGTGCTGCCAATGTGGAAAAAGTTCAAGGAGCAGTTATGAAAACCCACAGGATACAGCTGGGGCTGCTGAATGGTGCAGCAGAAGTAAGCAAAGCAGTCTGAAACTGGATGTGTTCCACACCTCTGTTTGTGTTTTGAGGTGATAAAGAACTGTGTTCTGGAGTGGATTAGTGTTTTTCTCTCATTTAGGAGCAGGTCCTGTATGATAATTTCTAATTGATGACCAAGTGCCACGATGCAGGTCATGAACAAACCCTGCCAAAAATCATCAGCACAGTAAAAGACAGCTATAAGTAATTCCTCTCTGGGCCAGGGCAAGTGGAACTTAGATTTAAGTTCTTATAAATTGTCTTCTTGAAAATTCAAAACTGCTGTTTCAAAGGGGCTGATGCTGTCTTCCTAAGATTCGCTCCCTTTCTGCTCTCCCTCCTTCATCCTCTGTCATAAGAAATTTTTTTTCTGAAGCATTGCCTAGACAAAGCTGTCCATCAGACTTCAAGGACTGTGCATCCTGGCAGATTGCTAGTATTTTCCTCTTTAGAAAAGAAGAATGAATTTGGAAGTAATACAAGGTGATGGATGGGTCTATGGATCATCAAACAACCCTGCTAGAATCCTTCTATATTCTGCTAATACCTCCTGCATTCCTAACAATTTTATTGCATTTCAGTATATTTATTATTCCCTTTGCTCTACATCTTCTTTTATTGACTGAAAAAAGCCACTGCTATTCTAATGGCCCTGCATAGTTTTACTGCATCCTAAGTCTCAACTTCTTTGAACCCAAACCAACTACTACACCTTAAGTTTTATCTTGGCTTCTGTATTTTCTTTTTTCTCACACTGCAGCTCTTTCAGAAGACTCTTCCTCTCTACAACAGAGTTACACTTACTTAGAATGGACACTGGATAAGAAAAATTGGGCTTTGTCTAATTAATCTGTTTTAATCAGCTTTTCCAGAAGCAGCTGATAATAATACTTCATAGATTAAACAAGGCAATGGACAGGGCAACTGAGTGACCAGCGTAGCTTGCTACACAGGATAAGCATTTTCACCTCTCTGCTAACACATACCAAAACTGTAAACTTGTAAAGTTGTGTTTTGTTTTGTGGTTGTTTGTTGGTTGTTTTTTTTTTTTTTTAATTTTTTAAGGAATTCTTCAGGTAAGAATATCAATTTCACTATTAACAAAATTATCAGATCCAATACTGTATTCCTTGGATTTCATCAGCATTGTATTTGTCTTTGGTTTTTAAGGAAGGAAAGAAAGCATATTTCAGGTTACTTACCAAGTGTTTGAGTAGCTGGCTTAATCCGTAGGTCAATTTTATGATCTACTCCTGCCTAGGGTGAAAAAGAACACAGAGATTACGAAAGTTTTCAAGAAATAACCTCTTCATATCTTGCAATGAGGGAGTGATTGGTGTTCAGATATCTTTTCCTATTATTTCTAGGATTTCTAGAAAGAAAGTGATTATTTGTCTTCTCAAAATAAGCTGTAGCAACCCTTGTTATAACAATACGAATGCTTGTGTGTGAATGTACAAGTCTAAGATACCAAAATTCCTGGTCATGCAAAACAAATGTCCCAAACATGTAATAGTTAAGATGCTACTTACTTCTTTCCACAGTGGCTTTCCAATTTTGGCATAATCTTCATTTATGTCACAAGCAATAACTCTGCCATTATCTGGTAGGGCAAGTGCCATACTCAAGGCATTATATCCTGTGAGAACTCCTAGGAAAATCACAAAAGCCATAAACAAATATAATGTCTGCAAAACTGATAAATAGTGAAATAGAATGCTCCTTTCAGGAATAATAAGCATTAAAAAACAAAGAAAACACAGCAACATTAGAATCAAGGATGGCAATTTGCTACTGGACTCAAAAGGCTTTCCACCCAATTTTAACATTATGGGAGTTAGGAAGATTATTTTAATCCATCTCGTAGCAAAGAATTGTGTTGTGCCTCTTTATTTCTTCCCCTTAAAGGTTTCCTGGACATGCTAGGCAAAATTAGTCCTATATCTGAGGATCACCCACTTATTTAAAAGTGGAGCTCAATCCTGAGCCAAAGGGACTGGATCGACCCAGGAACAAAATATGAGGGCTTCATAAGAGATGACAAGGGTAGAGGTGGTGGGACCTGTACCTGGCTGCTCAGCTTTGGGAGATCCTTCTAACATGGGCATGTTAAGGGAAATGAATTGGACGTTGGACTTCTGCAGCAAATTGCTGGCCAACACTGCAGACCCAAGTGACCCGTTAGCCTAATATTTCAGGTTGCCTCTGAGTTGTTGAGACACACATGCTGATGACAAAAATACCAAATGCAAGTGGCAAGTATGTGCAAATCAAATGCTGCTTTTCACACTGTAGCTTGTCCGCCTTAAAGCTGACACAAAGATGCAGTACCTTAATTGTATTTGATAACGTTATCTTATGTAAACATGTTTGGATTTGGACAAGCACAGCCAGGAGATTTTACTACAGAGAAGACAAAGTGACACTCTTACCTACTTCAATAACTTTCTTGGCTTTAATGAGCTTGATTAAATTTGCCATCAGCTGAGCCTGGTCACAGGACACCATCATTCTGCCCCAGGGATATTCTGCAGTGAGCTAAAAAGGGGAAAGAAATTAATACATCAAACAAACAAACAAAAAGAACCCAAACCAATATCCTAAAAGGGGGAGGAGGGGGAAACAAACGAAAAAACCCAACACCTCCAAACTAGAGAAAATATATACTCTTATTTTTCTCATTTTAGATGGTATTGTGCTCCATTTATGAGATAGAAATTGTTTTGAATTTAGCAATAACTAAGGTGGATGGTGGGAGGTCGTACGCACTGACTGGTTATTCAAAGCAGAGATGTGCCCCAAAGTTACCCCATCGCTGTAGCAAACTCAGAAATGTAAATGGTGAAGAACCTTAGTGGAGTATTGACCGTAAATGTCCTTTATTTCTACACATATACACAAGTGGGTATTTTTTATTTATTTTCTTAATAACAAGCTTTGCTGCTCTTAAACCTCTAAGACATGTAGGATGTGGATTTTGTGTTAGTTTTGTTCTTTTTGGTTGGTTGGTTCTTCCACTTTTAAACTATCAGGTCCAAGCCTGTTTCTGAAGGTTGGTCTGTGTAGCTCTGGCTGCGCAGCACAGAGCTGGAGGAGTCAGGGTAGGAGGGACCCAGGCATTGTGGAAGGGACAGCAGGAGAAGCAGCTATGCCATAGCAGTTCAGTGGAAAGGAATTTCAATTTCCTTTCCTACAATTTCCTTTCTTCTCTTGGGTCCCACTTGAACCAACCAGCCCCAGTATATAATATTTAATTGCTTTTGTATGAGAACATTACATCTGATTTGGTCAGACCAAGCTGTGAAGCAGGAGGCACTTGTTCTGAGCTGTGGAGGAGGCTGGGGGCAACCACCTCTCTCAGATAGTTTCCTTATATGTCAACTAAAATTCACTTCTAGAAGTCACGTGGTAAAGGCAAGTGAGGTCCAAACACATGGATAAGACGGCATGTTGAAAATGTAAAGCAATACTATCAAATGAAAAAACTATGCTGGGAGACAAAATACTGACCAGGCGCAGCTTCTTGAGAATCGGATGCTCCCTCAAGGAATGATCCAGTATATATTGCCACAGAGGGCTGCTTTTCCCAATAATACTCCTGTGTGGTTTGGATGTCCCAAACAATAGGGATGGATATCTTTTACCTGCAATAAAATAAAATAATAATAATAAAAAAATAAGATAACTTGGAGCTCCAATAATGATGTTTTGCAGTTGTCTGCTATAGGCTGCTTAAAGAAAAAAAGCACCGAACTTAGAGCACTTTGCTCTGAAAACTGCTGTGAATAATAGAGATGCAATGCAGCTGGGCAGCTCAGTGGACTTCATATATGTATATATACACATATAAATATATATGTATACACCTCTGAACTGTACAGCTCAAGGCTGCAAAGACTGAACGGAAAAGGATTGGGCATGAGATGGTTAGATGTTCAGCAGCTGGAGGTGAAGGCCCCCGGGCAGCCTGACCTTACAGGACACGTAATTTCATGGGGCTACAAAGGGACAAGTGTTGCAAGACCTGGGGCAAGCGCAGGGAGAGAAACGTGACCGGGGCATGACACATCGGATGGCCTTCGCACGGCAGCGCCAGCGCCGTTTCCTTAGCCTGGGGCCCTCGTCCTGCAGATGACAGCCGTCGGGCTCCGGGGCTGTCAGCTGATGCCTCTCCCCAGGCTCCGCGCTTCTATCGAACCCAACTTCAGCCCTCCCGCCTCCTGCTGGCGGAACGCCGCCAAGGAGCGTTTTCGCCCCACGGCTTCCGCCGCCCGTCGCGGTCTGTGTCACGCGGGACGCGGCCGCTCAGCTCCGCGACCCTCCCGAGGACGGGAGCATCTGCCGCCCGCAGCGCAGCGCACGGCGCTCCTGCCCGGCCGGGGTCGCGGGGCAGGCAGCGGGCCGCTTTGGAGAGGACTTCGGCTCCGATCTCTCCAGCCGGGCTGCAGGGCGCGGCTCGGGCTCCGGCTCCGCTTGTTGCTGCGGCCCAGCAGGAAGAGAGAGCGCGCCGCTTACCTGCCAGCAGCCCCGTCGCGAAGGCGACCCCGAGCATGGCCGTGCCGACGGCCACCTCCTTGGGCACGCTGAAGAACGGCATCTCGGAGCGCGGAAAAGTGGCTGCGAGCAGCTCGGTGCGGCACGAGGAAAAGCGGCACGGCGGAGCGAGGTGGGGCGGAGCTGTCTGCCGCTTGATGAGGGGCGGCCCGGGTCCGCCTCCTCCGTGCTTCCTGTATCGCATTCGTGCCACGTGCGGCGCGAGAGCGGGAGGTTGAGGGGTGCTGTGTTTTCCCTCGAGGGAAAGCTGGAGTATCTGTGGAGAAAGGGCTGCGACCTGCTTTCTGTGAGCATCGCATCTCACTGCTGCTTCTTCGTTTCAAAGTGTGTCCTGGTGGCGTGTTGGCTGGCAGAACTGCGACGGAGGAGCTCCTGGCAGAAATGTCCTCCCTCCACCAGTCCTGGAGGTGTGCCTTCTCTTGAAGAAAGATAGGCTTCTTGTCACAAAGTGCATCAGACTGTGCCCAAAAGCTGTGGGTTTCTGGGTGCAAGGAATCAAGCCAAGGATGGGGAACAGGTCCTCTGCTCTCATGTCAAACCCTTCTAGTTGGTTAGAGGTCTCCCTCATCACAAAATGCATGGATAAGTGCTGAAAGGACGGTGCAGTCCCACTTGCAGGGACCAAACCCTGGGGTTTGGTTGTCATTTTGTGAAGTATTGGCAATGACAGGCAAAGCCCTTGCAAGATGCAGAGACCCATCTTTCTCTGGGGAAATGAAATTATCAATCCTGCATGCAGACTGGGACTGCAGGCACTGAGTAGACTGCATGTTGGCCTAGAGAGATGTAAGATGAAAGCAGGTAACGCTTCCCTTTTGGCACATATCCTGTATAAAGCCCGATGAACTATGCAGCATTAGGTTAGGATGGTAACTTTTCAGCTGTGTCCTTAAGCTAGCAAAGCTGTCCAGTGTCAGTGCAGTTAGCATAAAGAGATTCTCTTGTAAGTCGTCTTTAGTGCAGGATTAAGTATTTTACCCAAGGCAGAAGCTGTACTTATTTTTATGGGACACAGATTTGCCCATCACTGCATTTTTTTCCTGTGTTAGACCTTATTTATAAGGACTAGGGCTCAGAGCTCGTGTATTTCTCTTGCAGCAGCTCAGCTAATCATGTCAGGCGCTAAGGAGTCTGCTGTGCTTTCTGACTTGCAGAACAAAGCAAGAAATCTGGTCTATCTTGGCAGATAAAATATCTCTCAGTTTGCTTTTAAAATTTATTTGATTTTGAAGGCTGTGAATGTTATTGGTTTCTTTTTTTTTTTTTTTTTCCCTTCAGTATCTCATCAATTCCTCTGTGTACATTTTGCTTTTGTAAATGAAAGCATTTCATCCCCATCCCTCAGAAGGTGAGTGAATAGGAACCGCCGGGATCGGTCAGTTTAGGCCAAATAGAACTGCGCGAGGCAACAAACTCTTGTAGAGGCCATAAATCAGATTTGTGACTCTGTAGCTCCATCTAGTGATTATTTTCTATAACTGCAACACGAGAAGGGAGAGATCAGCTGTGGGATTCTCCGCTTTTATTTTATTTTATTTTATTTTATTTTATTTTATTTTATTTTATTTTATTTTATTTTATTAATTTTTTTATTTTTTATTTTATTTTTTTTTAGCTTCTGCTCTTTGTGCTTTCTGAGAACTGCAAGCCGTATTGGCCTCCGGACTGACAACTGAATGAGATGCCTCGCTTGTACCTCTCCAGGATCTTCAAGGTTTCTGAAATCACTCAGAGAACTAGTGAACAGAATTGCTAGCATACTTAAACAAGTCTGAAACGTTTTTTTTTGCCCCAACTTCTTACATAGTTTACCTGTGTAGCAGTGACAAGGCTTTTAATATCTTGAGATATATATTGGACTATATATTGTTTCTTTAGATAAGGAAATTGATGTACGGATATCCAAAGCAAGATAAAACAGTTATTCTTTTGGTCTCGGAGTGGCAAAAGAATCCAAGTTCTCCAACTAAATCAAAATGAGCTGGCTGCTTTTCTTTGAGCCATCACAATTTTCCTTTTACATTGTTCTGTTATATATTACTGGACAATAAACTTTGGCTGTCACATTAATTCAGACACATGCTTGCAGTGTGTTGTGGCTACTTGAGCACTGAAAGACTTCTTGAGCTGGGTAGGTGGAGGCTACCTAGAGATAGAAGGTGTGTGTGAAGTGGTTTGGAATATAAGCTCCACTGTTCCTTATTATCTATAAGGTCAGTTCAGTTGCACAAATTTCACACAACTTTGGGATCACAGAATTGTAGGGGTTGGAAGGGACCTCTGGAGATCATCATAGAAGGCTACCAGGATGACCAAGTGTGATTTCCCCTTGGTGAATCTGTGTTGACTATTCCCAATAACCTTCTTCTGCTTGCCCAGAAATGATGTCCAGAATAAGTTGTTCCATCACCTTCCCAGAGATGAAGGTGAGGCTGACTGGCCTGTAGTTTTCGGGTCCTCCTCCTTATTGTTTTAGCGTCCTGGAGTGACATTGTACTCTAATCTTTAGGTACCTCTCTTGTTCTACATGACCTTTCACAGATTATGTGGAATGGTGTGGCTGTTACTTCTGCCAGCTACTTCAGCACTTATGAGTGTATCCTACTGAGACCCAGGGATTTTTGCATGTTGAGTTTGCCTAGATAATCTCTAGCCTCATCTTTCTCTAAGAAGTCTTCCTTTTCTCCGACACTCTCTTACCTCCTGAGTCTGGGATTCCTGAGGAGCAGTCTTAGCAGTAAGGCTGAAGCAAAGAAGGAAGTAAGTAACTCTGTTTTTTCCACATTCTCTGTTACCAGGGCATCTCCCTCATTCAGCAGCAGGCCCACATTTTCTCTAGTCTCCCTTTTGTTACTTACATACTTGAAGAATCCTTTCTTGTTGCCTTTGACCTCCCTCACCAGATTTAATTAGAATGGTCCTTAGCCTTCCTCACTGCATCCTTGCATGCCCTGATAACATTCTTGAATTCCTACCAAGTGACCAGAACTGGGAGAAGTTTGGGATTTGGAATTGAGATTGTTTCCAGTGTTCTACTTGACCAGCACATTTACTGTGCCTCGAAGCGCCTCCTACCTACAACTGCATCCTGAAAGAGTGAGACTTTGACAGCTTCTTCACACTGGAGCCAGAACATGATCATTTCTGTGAAATGTAAGGAGTAGGATAGATAGGATTCAGACTGGCTAGTCAGCAGTTGACCTCAGGATGTGCAAATCCTCATTTTATTCATACTGATAACCTGTCCCACAGCTTCTCGGTCACTGGGTGATTGATGTCTGCACTAGCTTGTTTTTCAACTTGATACTTGATACTGTCCTTTTAGGACTGGTTTTTTTTCTGTTTGTTTGTTTGTTTTGTATGTGGGAATGTGGTACACCATCCACTTTACTATCATCTGCTGTATATACTGCTGGTACAAGTAGGACTAGGGAAATATTAGCCTACTTATAAGGATGTAATCTCACTTCTGGATTTCTGCCTTTCATTTTGTGCTATTGCGCCATCTCATTTTTCAGAAAGACCAGTAGTACTGAGCATAATGAGGTAGGAGTGTGAAATGCTAAATGAATTTAAATGAGTTTAATAAGTTATTCTGAAAGGAATATCCACTGTCTTTATTTTTATGTATTTATTTGTGTGTGTGTTTCTTTCCCTCTTCACACTCCCGTGTATCAGCTACTGGAGCTCGGCTTTGTGCCTTCTGATACATGGGTGTTGTTCTGTGGTCTGCTCCATGGTGTTGTTGAAGACCAAAATATAATCATCTTAATTGTCTTCTTGATGAACTGTAGAGAAGTAAAATCTGAGGGTGGCTGACCATGGGATTGCACACAGTGACTGACAGACTACCTGCAACATGTGCGCTAAACCACATTTGCTGTTGATTTGGCTTTACCAGACCTTTTGGCAACGCAAGTCCTAAACCATCACGGTTGCTAATATGATTCTACTAGATGAGGGTGGGTACAGATGACTCTTCTAAGAATGATATTTGCTCTGTGGCGGAAAAATCACTGTATGCCACAAACAATCTGAGAGAAGTGTGCATAGACCTCTTGAACAGCAGAACTCAGCATAAATAATCCCGGTACGCATGTTGAAGTTATACTGCCTATGACATTGCATGGTAACTTGAGTCATGGCCTGAACCACTGATTGAGCACCTGGGGAAAGGACCCAATCAGCCCTGGGAGCACAGGTGAAGGCAATTCAGCTGTGTGACCAGCAGGTATAGAGCCTGACTGCACCTCTCTTTGACTTTATTTAAGGGCTGATTGCCACTCTGGAAGGTTCTTTGGTTGGTGATCCCTCCTCTGTGAAGTTTCCCTTGTGAGCCTAGCTCTTCAGAGACAGATGGTGAGCACTTTTCCTTTGTAATGCTTTTCTATTGTGCTGGTTTCCTTGTTATTACATCTTGTGTATCACTATTCCATTGTGTTGGAATAGTGTTTCTGATAGTTACAAGTGTTAAAAATAATATAGTAGGGCTATTATTGTTGTGTTGTGTCTGCTGGTGTGGCTTCAAGCATAATTTAGATAGTGCTTGCCTCAAACCTGGATTACCTGTTTTCCCCTGCATTCATGATGAGGATAGCAGTCACAGTTTTCTGACACAGCAGCGCTTACATAAGATATACTTAGTTTAGTGAGTAAAGTAGAAATGTGTTCAGAGCTTCTGTACAGAGAAAAAAGTGAAGGCAGTGGTCTTTGCTCCCCAGTAGTTTAGAATAGGAAAGTAAGAAAAATGGTAACAGGAAGGGAGAGCATGGAGCTAAGGGTGTATTGGTCAGATTGCTTGGCATGTTTCTCAAGAGAAATCAGAGCAAAGAAGCTGTAAGGAGAGTTAAGGAAGGAGAATGAAGTTTGAAGCTGGCTGGGAGGAGTTTACCTCAAATATGAGTGTGGGAGTACAAGCCTCAACATAAAATTACTGCTGAAAGCGCTCTTTGAAGATGGCATTTTGGATGGATGGGACTTGAATGGGATTAAATCTGTGGAAAGAATTTGCAGTAATCAGGATGATGAGAACTTGGACATAAGTTTTTAGTTGTGAAGGTGCACATAAATAAATCATCTTGGAAGTGTGTCAAAATCTTTCTGATTATTTTTGTATGGTTTGAATGTGAAGGTCTAGAGGGAAATCAGAGTTGAAAATGAAGTATTATGAGTTAAGTGATAGGCAAAATGCCACTTTCATCTG